ATGGAAACCGCTACTGCTGTTCCCTCATCCGGGTCCTGCACTCCGTCCGTCAACCAGGCGATCTTCCGGTCTTCCGGGAGTCAATAGCTCGCTGTCTCTGGCTCTCCTCTTTCTCGGCCTCCGTCGGGCGCTGCATGTTCTGAACACGGTGTTCACTCGCCCGCCGTCTCGGCTGGAGCCGGGAAACCAGCGGCCTTGCCCATCGTCATGGGCGGGATTTCACCTGCAGGACCGACTCCTGAACCGCTTCCAGGGAGATTGTTCGACTTCGCAGCCCCGCTTTCCTCATCTCAGCAGAATAGGGTTTCACGTCACCATTTTCTTTGAGGTCCAGGCCAAGGTTTAATGAGGCCACTGTGATGTAACCTTGTCCCTAGAAAGTGCAAGCTTTACTGGCCAATCAAAACCCTGGAGCTGGCCAGGGGAAATGTCAGCTACTTCTCTTAGCAGAACCTGCCCGATGCCCTCGTTTCTGCTCTTCAAGATTTCATGGTTTCTCCCTGATGACAGGAATGCAGCAATGGAACTGCTGAGATAGCTCGTCCTCAGATAAATTTTTCCCCATGGTAGCTTTGAAAAAATGTGGAGCTATCTTCTATGACTGTTATCCATTCTGTTGAGTCCCAAGCGCTCCCAGTCTTGGTAGAGAGGATGAGCCTGCCCACGAAGACCCTCCATCCCCTGTGAAGAAGCTGCAGGACCAGCTGAGCCCGCAACTCCTGCAGCCACCACCACGGCGGCCCCCGTGCAGTTCCAGCCTTGGTCGGAACTGAGGGGCTTCTTGGGTGTGCTGATGACCAGCAGCAGTGTCCCCCCAGAGTCTGTCTCTGCAGGGAAGCCCTCCTCTCCCTCCTTCCTGTCAGCTTCTCAAATTCCCCTGGTCATTCAGGAGGTCATCCAAATGCCCTCCGGGTTCTTGTACCCCCGACCAGCCAGAGCCCCCACACCTTCCCCTGAGCTCTTGTCCTTCTTGTTCCTGCACCTCCGAGTGCGTCCCTCGGCCAGGGCCTCAGCCCTCCGCGTCTGCTGACAG